ACATCCAAGCAAAGGACTGGGCCTTTACAGTCAGATAGTGCCCTCTCGTCGGAGTTGGGGGGGGGGAGGGGGGGGAGGAGCAGTGGGATGTGGTTCGGGGCGGTGTGGGAATGGGGCAGATGTGAAGCGGCGTGCCGGTTGGATGTTACCTGGACGGTGTGACGTGGACACTCTCGGGGTTTTTGCGACTTGTGCGCGCTATTACAGTGTGCTTCTGTAAGTGCTGCGGTTGACACGTGTGAAGGAGACACGTGTGTAGGCACACTAGAAAGAGAGATTCATCTTTTTGATTCGCACCCCACATGCATTGACATTGTCGCAGGATACTATCTTTGCCCGCCACCGTGTGCGTCGCTGTACAATCAGCGACGGGACCGGGCACGTTAGACGTTGTTGCGATGGAGGGGAGGCTAAGAGCAAGGCAACCAGTGCGCTAAATTTCGAAATTTTAGAGATTTTCCCCTGTTGCCATGTCAACTGGTGCGCTAATCGCTTTTTTCGGTTGCTATCTGGAAGCACCTATCTCTATATTCGTTTCTTTCCTGGCGCAGGATAGAAATGGATATAGCACGCGATCACTCAGAATTCATCGATATTTCATAATCACTATAACCAATCATCATTCGAGTGCTATATGCGCCGTGCTTCAGACCCCTTGTCTTGGCGAAAAACTTGGGAAAAACTAATACTCGGCCACTTGCGGGCCGTCACATATGGCGACGCACTTGTTGTGTTGCGCACTCTTTAGAGCGCTGCATGGCTAAAAATGTGCGCTATAAATTAGCGCACTGGTTGCCTTGCTCTAAGGTCGCTACCTTAGCAATGAATTGCACGATAATCCGCTTTAATTCTGATCCCACTTGCCTCCCTCTTCACCCCCGCGAAGGGGAGGCGCAACAGATATATGTAGCGGACCCAAGCTCGTCGGCGCTAATCGCCAACGAGCTGGATACAAATTCTAATAATTTTGGCTGTTATTTCGCTGGTAGCCAATGAGCCTCGTGCATTCTGTGGCCATGTAATCTCAATGAGCTGCGTCGTCGCCTTGATAATCTCGACAGACATGGCAGAATTTTATTTCCTGGATGCATCCAATTGATAAAAAAATTACCCTTGATAAAGCTTTATATGAAACGACACGCTACGAGAGTGGGTGGGACGGTGGGCGGCGCAAAGCGGGCGGCGCATAGCGGGCGGCGCATATCTAGTGTCTAGACGACAAGCAATTTGACCTCATATGAGGTCAGTCATGGCCTCATATGAGGCCAGCTTTTTTTTTGCAAAAATATATAAATTAAATCGAAACTTTAAAACATTCAGTTTGGACACCATTTCTTTAACGTATACGCGCTCGGCAATAACATCTTGCAAAACATTGGGATGGCGGTTGTCAATGCACAGAGAGACTAAGAATCTAATGAAGTATCAATGATGAGTTGACTTTTTAAACAGGCGTTTTGGTTTCGAAGATATCAACATAAAACGTTTTGAGGTTGGTCAAAAAAGGCTCCTTTTTGGGCATTTTAAAAATGGCTGGAGAAGACGTGCAGATCTCACCAAACTCCACCCTTCCACAACGCAGAAGTCAACTGCCGTGTCGAGAGTATCTTTTTTCCATCTTGTTGAGCTAGCACAAGTCGAGAAAAATAAGTTGAAAAGTGACCTCATATGAGGTCAAATGGCCTCATGTGAGGTCATTTGTCACCTAGACACTAGCAGGCGGCGCAGATGTGGGTTTGACAAGCAGCCACGCAAGAGTGTAAGGCGGCCGGGCGCGGGGGCGCGCCGGCAGGGTGGGTGGCGGATGGGCGCGGCGCGGGCGCGTATGCGCATGAGCAGGCTCCGCTTTTTTTGCGGTGCGGTTCGCGCGGCGGTTCGCGCCGCTGCGCCCCCGCACACACACGCGCCACCCCCATTGGCCGGCGTCGCCACGCCGAATATAGGAGATATACGACTGCCGCGCAACACGCGCACCCTCATTGGCCGCATGCGGATATCGCGCCCCCGCCCCGATCCGCCGGCGCGACCAACCTCCGCCGGGCCAATCCGGGAGATATACGACTGCCGCGCAACACGCGCACCCTCATTGGCCGCCTGCAGATATCACGCCCCCGCCCCGATCCGCCGGCGCTACCAACCTCCGCCGGGCCAATCCGGGAGATATACGACTGCCGCGCAACACGCGCACCCTCATTGGCCGCCTGCAAATATCACGCCCCGCCCAGATCCGCCGGCGCCACCAAGCGCCGCCGTGGCAATCCGCTCAAATGGCCCGCAGCATCTCCACATCGACCCCTTCTCCCCCGATACGCAACGACCTGCTCCC